TACGGCAACGCGCACGTGCGCTTGGTTCGTCACGGTGGCCGCACTAAGCGAAGCAACGTGGGGCCTTAGGGGCCGTCCATAAATGACGTCACGCGATTTTGGACGATTTTTGACCCCCCCCCCCCCCATCGTCACACAGCGTCACAAAAAGTCAGACCCCCCCCTCAAATATGACGTCACAAAGCTCTTCCTCCCCTCTCCCCCCAAAATAAAACATGCTTCAAATCGCGTTAAACTATTGTCATTGTAGTGCGTATTTAATGTGGCGCTGCACTCTGATGTTGTAGGAGAAAACATTTATTTAAAACGTCTATTTAATTAAGTAGTACGTGTCGTCTATATTGATTTAAAGTTGCGCATTTTGATGTGACGTCACATTTCTCACCTCCCCCTCTCCCATCCTCGTCACACATCGTCACAAATGCCTGAACCCCCCCCCTCCTCCCCCTAGGTGCGTGACGTCATTTATGGACGTCCCCTTATCCGTACACGCAGGCACAAACCTCGCACCAGGGCCAACACCTCCACAGCCACACCAATTGCTCGGTGCTGCACTCGCTTATAAGTGGCGGCTGAAGGTTCGAAACGGTTGGGGAGTTGACGTGTGGTTTTGTATCCTGTGGAAAAAAAAATCCCAACGGTGATGAGAAGTTTATCCGAGCGCGTGTGAATGAGAATTCAACGCCTTTGTAACAATTATTTGATCGAAGTCACAAAGTATTTCCAATGGGGGTTTTTTTTCCCTCTCTCTCCACACGTCTGTTACATTCATAACCAGATTTGGAGCAATTTCTGCACGCATGATATTGCCTCACGTTTATCTTTTACGAGTTAATTTAGTGGGCGTGTGTGCCAATTCGTACTTGATTGGCCCTGTGGCATTTTGGTCAATGATGGACCCCAATTCAATTGCTTATAGGCTTTTTACACTTTTTCTTTTAACTCACTCTGTTGTTGTCGTTGTATCCTCAAATCTTGTAACTACATTTTAACCCATTTCCCAATGTGGTATCGACTGCAAACTTGGTATACTTATGTCATACTAATGACAATACTATATTCTATCATAAAAAACTAAAACAAATTTTTTTTAAACAATATTTTTATATGCTATGTTTCGGCTTAGTTCTAATTGTCCACGGTAAAACTGACGTTGGCTGTAAATCACCACGGTCCCCTTACGTTATGGCAAGCTTCGGGGCCACTTCCTGGAGTCGTGGGGTTCTTCCATTACTAGTACATTTCATGAAAGCGTGTTTTAAAAAAGTATTTTTAAATATTACTTATTTATATCTTGGCAAGCACACAAGAGGTCATTTGAAACAAAATATTTTGGATGCACAATATAACCCTGTTCGCCCGAGGAGTTGTGGTCAAATATCTATCTGACGATTGTCGGGAGGAGGAGAGGTGTGACAGAGCGAGTTGCAAATTGGCCCACTGGAGCCTCCATAATTAAATTAATTCATAATATTGGACCACTTCAAACAATGTACGGGAAAATATGACCCCGTGCACCATCTCATTTATCCATTCGTGTACAAACATTAGTTACATTTATTAACATTGCATATGATAATTATTAACACGTGTGTAGTGATATAGATTGGGTCACTACGGCGCGTAGCGCTGGTTACTGGTAGAGAGCGGGATCGTGGGTGTAATCACCCGGTCTAGCAGCAGGACAGGTGAAGTGTGCCCTGGAGCGCATAGCGCCAGTTGCTGGCAGTGAAGGGCATTTAAGGATACAGCAGCCGGTCTGCCAGTAGGGCACGTGATAGGCACGGATGTAGGGTAAAGGTGACAGAGGGGACACGTGGGGCAGAGCCCAGAACCTTCTGGTAGGTTCCAGAAGGGGGCGTGGCCGAGGGCGGAGCCAGGCCACGCTGGGGTGGATAAAAGGGGGGCCCCGACGCTGGGTCGGGGCTGCTGCGGTTTGGGAATGGAACCCATTGTCGACAAGTCTCCGTCCTTACTCTTTGGTTCTTTCGGTAAAGTCTCGTAAGTATAAATAAAATAAATCACGACCTTTCGGGTGCAACACAAGCGTCCGTCATCAGGTGGAAAAGCATGGTCTGCTGCTGAGGCAGACTTTTAAAAAGTTTGAAATGGGTGTAGCCCATGGGTTATAAAGAAGTGGGCGGGGCTAGGGATGTTAATGTGAGAAATTAGCATGTAACTGTAAGATTGGAGAGCGGCCTCCTCGACGAGGGCACGGAAGTGGCTATGTTAATGTGAGAGATAAGCATGTTAATGTAAAATCGAAGAGTGGTGCAATCCAAAGGCATGAGTGCAACCCAAAGGGTGCAATCCAAAGGGCATGTGAGCATGAGAGTGCAATCCAAAGGCATGAGAGTGCAATCCAAAGGACATGTGAGTATGAGAGTGAAATCCAAAGGACATGTGAGCATGAGAGTGCAATCCAAAGGACATGTGAGCATGAGAGTGCAATCCAAAGGCATGAGAGTGCAATGCAAAGGACATGTGAGCATGAGATATTTAAGAGAGAGGCATAGAGAGAGACACAGAGAGTCGGAAATAACAGCTGACATAGGCAAGTAGGATGGAAACATCACAGTCAGTTAAGACTTTACCTGGTTAATAACGTCCTTCCAATGATTGCTCAGTTTGTACCCATCCTCTCGGTTGAAGTTCTGTCTGTGTTTATATATCTGGATGGCTTCATGAACAAATCTGTGAAGGTAGCCGTTAGGTTTGCAGAGGTCTTGTAAAAATCAATTTCAATTGAGAAAATCAATTTCAATATTGGTCACGAAAGCCTACGTGTTAAACACATCAATTTCATCTTCTTTGGTTCTTTCGGTAAAGTCACGTAGAATGAGAATAAAATAATAGTTAATAAGATAAAATAACACAATAAAATTCTCACGACGTTTCGGCCACAACACAAGTGGCCTTCTTCACTTGTGTTGTGGCCAAAACGTCGTGAGAACATTATTGTGTTATTTTATTTTATTAATGTATTATTTTATTCTCATTCTACGCGACTTTACCGAAAGAACCAAAGAAGATGAATTCTTGCAGTCACGAAAGCTTTAAATCGAAATTAATTTCAATAGATTTTTCCCAAACGGAGGTACTCTGCAAACCTACCGGCTACCTTCAGAGATTTGTTCATGAAGCCATCCAGATATATAAACACCGTGAGCACGTCCGCGAGGTGAGAAGTGGAGTAAGGGTACACCCAGGGATTGAATAGGGATAGGCTAGGTGCTGCTCGCTCAGAATTTTGCTCCGGGCCACGCAGGTTTTTTTTTCAGGCGCGCCATTAATAAACTTTAGCACAGAGGATCCGTGTGGTGTGATTTCTGTGGGTGTGGGAGAGTGTCAGCGTGGGGCGTAATTCGAGCGGGTGTGTGGGAGGCACGCCGGCAGTAATTCATTAACGGTTCCCACGTCTGTGCAGCGGCGCCGCGCGAATAATAGGGCGAGGGAGGGGTGACTTAAAACCCGTTCACGTGCATGTTTACACAGCGCGTTTTACGCAGTGTGTTCACGTAGCGACGATAGCATTTAGCGGTGGAGCGCGCGTATATTGCCATCAATACGGCCGTCGTTGTGCCCGCGTGCTTGCGCTCGCGTGCGTGTTTGCACAGCGGATGAAGGCCGACCCATAGGAGGGGGGAGGTGCGCGTGAATATTCATACGGCTATCTTTAGCGCGAGCCGTGGTGAGCGAAGGTGCGCCTACGCGGGCACGCGCGTGCACGCAGCCACCTCCGCATGAGTGGTGGTGTACGTGGGGAGTGTGTGCGATAACTCCGGGCGGTGGTGAGCCAGCCACTTAGCCATGTCCCTCAGAGAGGGCGCTGGTGCGGGGGGGGCGATCACCCGATAGGCGGGGGCCCGACGAGAAGTGGCCGAGGAGGAGGGGGGAGAGGAGGAGGGGGGAGAGGAGGAGGGGGGAGAGGAGGAGGGGGGAGAGGAGGAGGGGGCGTCAGCCCCCACACAGCCAACTCGAAATGACACGTGCGGCCTAACGCTTTAAATGATGGCCGGAGATCGAGAGGAACTACAAAGTGACCGCCTAAAGCAGAAAACACGCACGAGAAGTCAACAGTGATTATTTAGAGTATTTGGCAGCTATACATTTCCACATAAGCCATTTCGTTGGGGTATCATTTGTGGCCAGGTCGCTTCTGAAAAAGAATTTAATGGCTCATTAGCTTTACCTGGTGATATTAATTTTTTTTTATTTTTACTTTTATTTATTAAGCTTTCATACAGTTTGCACTCCTATCGTGTGTTTTTGTAATGTTGTTAGAACGTTCTGATCAGCCCCGACTGGACATCTGTGAAAAGGAGCTTTATAGCTCATCAGATTCCTACAGTATAAATATTCAGATGTTAAGTCTGAAAAGGGGCGAGATAGATTGGTGAATCGCGAGACAATGAAAGGACAGGTTTGGTGGAGACCTCCATCCAGCAGTGGACAGACACATCATGGCTATGTACTCCAAACAATATTAATGTAGAGGTCGAATATGCACATAAGCATATCTCTTTTGAAGTTTAACACGTACATCAAAGATAAATTAATAAATTCCCCGTACAGCCTTAACACGCATTGGCACATGTGCGAAGTAGATCTGGAGTGCATTAAAATAATGCATTACGTAATAATGTATTGTTTACATTATTAGACCGTCATGCTGTGGTCAATTGACCATCTTCATTTGAGCAATTTCCGCTCAAGCGCATCTTAGGCTTGTACGTTTTTTTACATGTATACATTCACATTTGAAGAGACAATACATAATGAGAATAATAACAAACAAGACAGCCCATCTTTTGCTCTCGCACTGCGAGTGACACGCACGTGCCACCCACAGCTGCACGCGGTCCCTTTAAACGCCGCGTGACGTCACACGCATGCGTGCGTGCGATGACGTAATGTTTATAAATAACACCGCTTCCGCTCGCGGGTGGAAGGTCAACCGGTATTAATATTGCAAAATGAAAGTAGAAATAAATAAAAATAACCATAACGAGAAAACGACCGCTAACTATTACTCTTTACCGAATTATAACCGAATGATGGGCTTTGTACGTTTTTGAAAAAAAAAATATATTCACCCGACCGGAAGCCGCTAACAGCTGACGACGGCTCGCAGGTGAAGATGTCACAGCCATGTTTGGCCACCCCTGCCGCTGCCGCTCGGGGCTGTGAGGAGGCGATTTAAACCTCGCTCGACGTGAACAACGACGGCGAATCGTCGCCGACGAGCGGTGGAATAACGGAGGGGGACGTGGCGAACTTCGAGCGCGGGAGGTTGGCGGCGTTGGGCGGCGAGGAGGCGAGGGGGAGCGAGGCGAAAGCGGCCCGGTGCGGCAATGGCGGGGAAGGGCGAGATGCCGGCCTGCTAGATGAGCGAGCGGGGTGTGAATTAATTACATCGGCAGTGTTAATTAATTAGCTAGGTAGCTAATTATAGCTGGCTGCTGTTGGTGGTGCTGGTGCGTCCCGACAGGCAGCCGAGCCAGCCGGCGGTTGTTGCTGTTCGACTGCACGTGTACAACAGCAGTTTTGCTGTTGTAGTGTGTGTGGCAGGCGAACCACAACCACCACCACCACCCCCATCCACCCACTGAGTGGCGGAGACGGTTCAAGCAAATCCGTGCTGTGGTTCTTGTCATCCTTCGTGCCATTCATTGCTTCGGAGTGCTTGGACGCTGGAGACGATGGAGCTGATGCTGGCCGAGTGGGACGAGGCAGAGCGCTTCTCCTTCGAGGACAGTGACCGCTTCGAGGAGGATTCGCTCTGCTCCTGGATCTCGGAGCCCGAGTCGCTCTGCCAGAACTGGCGCGGGTGGAAGCGCGCGTCCGCAGGGCCCAACTCCCCGACTTCCAAGCTCAGAGGTTAGGCCACCACGACCACCACGACTCGCACCCAACACGGCTCGCCTTGTCCGCTTCTCCATCCATGCAGTGTTCAACCACTAGATCACCTCATTAATTGATCCACCCATGCTGAGGGGACGTCTGTGTACTCGACTGTTTCGTCTCATCCGTACTGTGTTGAAGCACCACGATGACAAGTCACACAACGCCTCTCTATTTTCGTGCTTGTCTGCGCCGCTGCTCCACTTACAATGGAATTCTCTCCCATCGTCTTTCTTTCCAGAACTCGTACAACCGTGCTCAATTCAAGAGACGGTATTAACTCTTGGCTGTTGCAACTCAAATGGTGCTGCTCGTTGCTGGACGCTTGGCATTTTGGGCCTCTCGGTCTGTGCTCAGCAACCGGCGATTAAAAACGGATTTGTTTTCCTAGACCGACGCAGTCTTAAACGAGTAGATCATACGGCGTGTAAACATCAGCACGGGAGAGACAAAGGCTTAACTAGGTGCTCGCTAACAGCACTTGCCCAAGTCTGTTGAATTCTATACGTGGCATCTTTGTGCAGTATACATGTATATATATTTTTCCCAGTCTTTACGCGTGCGCTTTCCTGCTTGTGACATTGTGTTTATTCCCCAATGTGTTCCGGATATGTCCAGAATATTTTGTATCTGCTGCTTGTGCTGTGTTTGTGCCCAGCATGGGTCCTTACGAGGTCTGGCTTTGTTCTTATTATCTCCATGTTGTGTTACTGTTGTGCTATTGTTGACCTGCTTGTGTTCTTAATGGTGTGTCCTGATAATGTTATGTTGTATTTCCCATTTGTGGTATGCATTGTGCTTAGCCTGTGTCTTTGTGTGTACTGATCGTGTATTGGCAGTGTTCCCATTATGTCCATTGTGTGTTAATATCGTATTTCATTTGTATCAAGCATGTGTACTGCTTGTGTTCACGTTATCTTCAGCTTATGTCTTAACTGTGTCTTTTTTGCCATTCATGTGACCAATCGAGTGTTCATGTTTGTGTTTTGTGTGCTGATTGTGTTCAGTGCGTGATCCTGCTTGTATGATTGTGTTCAGCTGAAATCCTACCTCAGTTTTTATTGTCTTGTGTGTGTGGTCATATTGTCTTCCAAATGTGTTAATGTGTCATGCCACTGTTCTTATTGCTACGCACGTGATCTGTCTTTGTTATAATTGTATGCCGTTTGGGCGTAGTGTGTCTACAATGCATGGTCAGTTTCTATCGTGAATATGTCCACGCTGTTTACTGATTGTCCAGGGTAAGTTCCATTTCAACTCTTGTAACGTCTTAATTTTTCCGAGCATGTAATGTTTATTTTTGAGGCTCAATTGTGTAATGCTATTATCTTCATCATGTTCGTTTACCCAGGAACAATCAGAATCTTAATTTCGACCGGAGGAATCCGATGAGCAATGAAGCTCTTTTTTCACAGATGTCCAGTCGCAACGTCTCACCGAGTCTCGTGCCAAGTTTTAGCAGTCGGGGGCGATGGTTGCTTCGTCGATTAAAATTGAGTAATTTGCGGATTATTTTTCAAATGTGGCAAAATTTGGACCGTGAAACAGACACACAGTGGCCCACTCTTGCAAATGACGTCACAGTATCTTTAATATCCACTTTGAAACAGACGGGGTGCGTATTTTTTTTACGGCTAATCCAAACGCGGTATTAATCAGTGCGGCTGCTGGCTTCGAACCGTGAACCTTTGCAGCGAGCGGGTGAACCCGCTGCTGCTGGGCCATGTGACTGACCCATGTGTTTGCCATGGAGCGAGTGGTGTTTCTCTGTCATGAACATCTTCTCTCTCGTGACTTTTGCGTGGCATGCGTTAAATGATGTTAGCTTAAAATGTGTCGCACCGTTTGCTGCTGCTGTGTTCGTGCAGCATTCTCGAACTACCAATTTACACTTAATACCAGGTTTCTCTGCATAAGATCTCTTTTTTTGTTTGGATAATTCATTGATTTCAAACCCCAATGAGGCCACTTATGCTTGCCCACATTCAATGTGCACTTGGTATATAATTGCACTTCTGCTTACGTGTACATACATTGGGTACTTGTTTCCTCCCGCGCACGCCTTACTCAACTTTCCCCGCTGTCATTCGGCTTGGGTATCTTGCAATTGTGACGTATAAAACCAAAGTGTACTTAAGGTGTACTGCCTTTTGAATATTGCTTTCACTAAAGCTGTTAAAAGACGCCCCCCCCCATTTCCTTCATTAAGGGACTTTCAGAGTCACCTCCTTCCTTCTTTCTTGATGAGACGTGTAACCTGTACACTTTTGAGTGGTGCCCGCAGCAGTGAACTGCTGACTGGATAAGGGCTCTGGTAGGTGAAGAAACTTGCTGTGGTTCACATTCCCTTGAGCCGTCTAGCCAAGCATTTAATACTCTTATGCAGGTCACATGATGTAAGCCATTTATTTTTGCTATTTTACGAAATACGATTGTTCAAACTTGGGATTTTAGTTTCAGACACGGGCGTGCAATAACCTCTTTTTGAATAATGCTATTGGCTCTTCACGTACATTTCTCTAACAATGGTTCACCGCCCCTTGCAATAGGCACTTATGTGTCTCCCTTGCCAAAGGACAATTGTATTCCTCTTGCCACGTTTTTTATACTGTTAAAGGAAGAACGCAAATGGCCGTGTCTGCACTCAGAAGTGTCTCCGGGCTCTAATGAGCAATGTTTGCCAGCGGTGGAAATTCCACACATTCCCACAAAGTGGCACTTATTTTATCAACCCCTGAAGGGATGATAGGCTGTATTTACACACACACAACCGGGATTGGAAGTCACAACATTTAGATTGTTAAGTAGAGTACTCAAACCATATCTGGCACTCGACTGGATACATTGTCTAGGCAGATCCTCTGTAGAGCCATGTAGACACTCGAGTCAAGTGCTGTTAGCGAGCACCTCATGAGGCTGGCTTGGTGCAAGAGGGGATGATGTGACCACCACCACACTACCACCTTTGTTTTCCCAGTGCTGATGTCTACACACCACAGCTCGTACTCATTTAAGGCTGGGTGGACCTAGGGGAGATTCAGCTTAAGTTCTGATACTTCTTGCCCCTAATATTAGCCATGGCTGATAATCAGGATTTATAACACGGTGCGCAAACCACCACCACTATATATTGTATGCCCATGCATGTATATAATCATTTAATTCCCTTTGGTCAATCCTTTCCTGGTTTTCAGAGTTAATTTACCATGCTTCACGTTGGTCAGTGTGGGTTGGTGTAGGGAGGGAAGATTAAGACCGGTTTAGATATGACTGATGTTGACCGTGGCTGGGAATCTAAGTGGGGATAAACAAGTTGGGTTAACTAAGTGCTGTGCCAGGGTGTATAATACATGTATACACCCCCATGGCCACGCTCGCATACAAACACCCAGGTATTACGCACGTGACATCCAGATTATGAGTCCATGAATGAGCATGTGACCCCGTGTCCTTTGCTTGTTAGCTGGCACCCTCCAAATCCCACCTTTCTTTGGAAAACTGGCCTGTTCCGGTAACTGAACTCAATTGGACCCATTGACTTTCTCGGGCACTCCGAATGGGGTCCAGCTGCACCAATCACGCCCGGAATGCCATGAATTGGTGTCACAAGTAACGCTGCAGCCCGACTTCAACGCTGTGTATTCATGTTGGAGGCTTTCAGTGGCGTGTAAGCCACGTAACACTTGCGACGAAAACATAAATATCTTCAGTAGATATTATAATCCGGGAAAGCCTCGCTGAGTTTTTTTTTAATATCTCTCTTTCATTGGCATGTTTGGACCGTGCCTCCCTTCGGAGTGGTTTGCATGTGGGAGAAAATTTGAGTACGCGAAGAAACAATTGCGCATGTAAGGGGGTAGCATTGTGCCGCCCGGACAGAATGCTGCTACTGTTCGCAGTCCACACTCGTACCACAAATGAACCATCCCGGGGTTTTCAATGCACCCACCAAGTGAGTTCTTAATCCACACAACTGAATTATTGACAGTGGTTGGTTACTCCTTGGTTCTTTCGGTAAAGTCACGTAGAAAGTAAAATAATAAAATAATACGACGTTTCGGTTGCAACACAAGCAACCATCATCAGGTACGAATGAATGATAAAACACAGACACGGGAACAACAGGCAGACACACATAGAGAGAGAGAGACACACACAAAGACACACACACCAAGACAAACAGAAGGACAACGACTCTGTGCCGATGCCTTAATCTAGTTGGTTAGTTTTGGTTATATTGGGTTCATTGGCTACATCTGATTGGCTATACGAGTGTCAGGGTGGTCGTAGCGCTTACGACCGAGTCGGTTTGCTTGGAGTAATTTATTTTCTTAAGAGAATGCATTCATTTATCCACTAAAGCTTCATTGAATCGCAGGACGTCTTCTTCAGTCGGGCCCTGCATGGTGATGTCTGGCCATTTCCTTTTTTATGGAGATGATGTGTGCGTGCGTAGGAGTAAATCTGCACGTAGGTTCCGTACAGATTGGTTGACAAAGCCAATTGCTGTGCTGTAATCTCCTGGAAATGTCATAGCCCAGCTGGTCTGAGAGATTTACTAATCTGTACGGTTAAACCCACCCACAGTTGCTTCAATTGTGCTGAATTACAGGTGTGTGCCATCATGCCTGACTTGGTTTCCCGCTGCCGGTGCTCACTAATTTCTATGGGGACTTAATGTCAGCTGCAGTCTGCTTTTGAGATGATTTTGAAGGCTCCCCTCTGGTATTATTTGGAAGAGCTAATGTTTATTTGCTGACGTCATCGACAGCATTGGGAACTTTCACATTGCGCGCAGCAAAGCCGAAATATTTTTTTTTTACATCCCCAATTCAAGTATCATTTTACAGGTGCACGATGCAGTAGAGGTAATGAACCCCGATGGGTTCTCACCTGGGAGTTTAATTAATTTGAATTGATAAGGTGTGTAATTTAAGTTCTGGACTGGGTGATTATTATGACTCTTTTGGAGTTAA